TAGCCCGCAAGCGTAGCGACATAGTACTCTCAGATGGCCGGCATCAGTCGTTCCGTGCCCTCCAGATCACCTGACTGGCCAAGGAACCAACAGGTGCTTTGGCGCCTCCAGGAGGTTTGCACAAGCTGTATCATACGGTTCTCGTCAACCACCAGGCAAACCGCAGCACCGTACACCGTGCTGCTCGTGTGCTCTGAGTAAATCATTGACTGAGAGTGTCAAAAGACTTCCAAACTCTCTTAATTAAGACAATTTACCTTTGCATGCTCTCTCTGAATCAGTGAATTTTTACAAGTTCGACTAGGATGATATACGCTGCGGAGGGTCCGATGGGACGGCGGACAATTCGTCTCAACAGGACCGATACCACACCCCCTCCAATGGAGGGGTGTGGGCTCGGTCCTGCTGAGCCGAATTGCCCGCCGTCCCATCGGACAGCTCGGTTAAGCCAAAGTAGGCTTTAGCCACCATAAAGCTGACTGGCAGCCTGACATAGACGAGAGCCAAGCCGAAGCAATGTGATTGCGCGGTGTAGCGGATAAGAGTCCGGACTCACTCTAGAAAAGTGATGGGTTCGGATCCGCGAGGCTTCAATATGATTCTATTGCTTGAGTCGTCGCATGAGAGCGCAAGCAAGCTGGGCCACTTTAGGTTAACAAACTTTGCATAAAGTGTACAAAACACAGCTGATTCTCTATATAAGCCTTAGCTTGAGTATTTCAGGACTTTCCACTTCCAACTGCCTCAGCAATTCAGAGTGCTTCAGGCTTGAAACTCCACCATATATGTACGGTGTTCATGTCAAAGGATCCTTTGAGGCTTCGGGAAGTTGAAGATCAACAGCTAGTGGCCCCCACCTAATCTAACAACAAAAAGGCAATCTTTTCTTCCACAGTAAGGGCGAATCGAAAGGTATTCTATTCCAGTTTTTAGGGTGCTTTGAAGTTTCAGTTAGTTCTATGCTTTCTTTAGGTGTTTTTCATTAGCTTCAAAATAAACTCGTGCAAGAGTATCACTGAAAGATATGAGTGGCATCTCTTTCAAGCTGCGTCTCCTAATATTCGAAAATGGCACTCCGTAAAGCTATCTCTAAGGAACATTCGCTTGTTTATAGCGTCGGATCAGGGCTCAGCTTTGCAAAAATTCACCAGACTTGTCGGATCCAAGGCCATGTCCATAATTTCTACGATCGCAGGCACACAGGCTACAGTAGTTCCGCAGCAACTGCTAATTACGAACTGCAATCAGTCAGATATTACTTTTGTGCTACACAAGTCACCTTCGTAGCAGAATCCATTCAAAAGTCACCATTCACCACCTGTACGCTACCCTTCAATCTTCGTTCAGTGTTCCACAATTCATTGGCAGGAATGACCAGGTCATGTTCTCTGAGAGTAGCTATCAGAGAGAGCCGAATCGTGCTATATAATATTAAATCTGTCTGATGTAGCGACGCCAAGTCGAATAGACTTGTTTCTCGTACTTATATTCTGTATTCACGTCGAAATTCTGTGCTGCAACGGGACAGCAATCACAGTTGCTCTGATCAGACTGCGATCAAGTTTTATTCCTTTAAGAATGTTCATGTGCGTCACTTCCTATTGAAGGAAAAACGTCTATCCTCACTGGCCAATAATTTTGGTCAGTTAACTGTTGAAAGGATCTTTTTTGTTGGTCTCAGTTGAATCTGAAGAATCATTCCATATGTGGGAATCATTCTGACTCACTCAGGGTCCGAAATTCAGAAAACTCTTTCTTTTGAGTATGCCGCATTGGTATATTCCTTCATATTCACAGCACTTGGAAAATTATGAAATTCCTCTGACAGTGTCTTGTTTTGGGTAACATTCTAATCGATTCAAAAAACTATTGAATGAAATTTGCAAAGATTTGGACTTGGCAAAAGTATAGAGTGGACAACTCCACGGGATGAGGAACTTTTGAGTCCCGTGGAGTTGTCCTGTTCAAAGTTCCAAATCAATCAGTTTTGTTGGAAACAACCGGGAATAAGGTAGCGCATCCAAAACAACGGCTCACAATTTGACAAGAAAGAAAGTGTTTAGAGAGACAACTTGTAATGCTCGACGTAGAACCCCTCAATAGCTGTAAGCCACCAAATATTAGTACTCCAAGTGGCTAAAACTGTGCGACATGCGTTTTGATTTCAATACCAGATCTTGATCCCTTCGTAGTTCTGATTCTCAAGTACTAATCATTTACACTATGCAGATTAGTGCTAGTTGTGTACGGCCGGTTTGAAAAAAAAANAAAAAAAAACAGGCTCTATCTATAAGGCTTATCCTGATATGTAGACGTTGTCATCGGGAGGCAAGTGAGCCCTTGTATATCTGGCCACATGCCAGCTCCCATTGAGTGGTTAATAAACTCTGATTCCTTGCTTATTGTTGCGGTTCTAGACAATAGTAAACATGTTAGAAATGCTCCCACCCGACTAGTAACTTTGCTATATGACCCAAAAAAATGCAAAAATCCAACTTCAGCGGGAGCAATCTGACATAGCTTTTTCTTGCACGTTCTCCTATGGTAAGGATCCCATGCTGTCATCTCACCCGACACTATACCCCTGGTTATGAGAGCAGCTCTACGGGAAAACAAGAGAGGGCAGGCTGAAATACTTATACCCACGGGCACTACTTGCGCCGTGAGTCTTCCATGAAAACAAACTTTTCCGTTGTTATAATTGTACCAGTGGATGGCAAAATTCACGCCGGGCTCGATTCTTTTTCGCACTGAGGTGGGCCTGTCACCAGATCTTTTTCAAATTCGGATGCTCCGTCACAGGAGAACAGCATTTATGAATTTTCGCCTACACACCCTAACATCTCGAATAACGTCGTGAGCGGAGTCCTGCCGAATTCACGTGGTTGCCCAAACTGGAATAAGTTGGTTGTACAGACAAGCCGAAGGAGGCAATTCACCCCATACATTACTCGTAAATAAACTTACCAGTCTCAGAGGCTAGGTCAAGTCCACAACAGATATTGTTCGGACCATGCCGTGATTAATGGAGACCCAGTCATGGAACGTGTCTGCAAAGCTATAGCAACTTGTGTGCATGGTGTTTTTGAACTCATTCACCGCCTTTAGACGAACTATTGGTGACAAACTACAGTGTTTTTAATCTAGCCTTGTCTCATGACCATCACGCCGTTGTTAACGAAGTGACCAAGCATTTCATCCCATCTGTCAAAAACAGTCGTTTGAAGGATACATGGAAATGCTTAAATGGAGCTTGAAGCGTAAATGACAGCAATCGACGATGCGTATATACCTTTGTATACCACTGTACACCAGTTTTGCTAAGCGTACTCGTGCGCAGCCCAATCAGAAGCGCTTTGAAAAACCCGATGACTGCTAAACAGTGCCGGATTACTGCATCGGTGGTTTTTACATATACTATTTTGAAGGTCATCACGAAGGTTAAAGTTCATAAGAGATTACCAAATTCGTGCTTACTGAAATAACCTATTTTTAAAACCATAGAATCAGGATGGGTATGTGTAGTTTCCAAAAACAACAGCAAATGAGCACGTAGTAATATGATTCGAATCAAAAAGCTGCACTTTCATCCAGAAATATAGCCTGAAAAACTACCCCTACTTGGCACGTTCACTGCTCAGAATTGAATGCAAGTAGTTAAGGGACGCTATTAAGGGGTGCGGTGGCATGCTATGTACGGATGATGCCGCTGCTTCGGTGCTCTCATGGTCAATCGGAATCCAGGAGCAGTTCCTCTAGGGAACATTGCTGGAGCGGAAAAGAGATTTCTGGTTCCCTGCCATCCAGCCATCTTACCAGCGATTCGGGAGCTTGCCTGATACTACTCTTCGAACCTTAAAACAATTAAATCTATCCGAGATTAGCGAACTGATCTTTTAATGCTTACCGACATACCCATCAATCTGAGCTTAGTTCAAATTTGAAGGTCACAGGTACTGACAAGTGAGATTCACATTTTCATCCTGTTGGTTTTTAGTTTAGTCTCTAGTTTAAGGAGAAGCAAGGGACGGCTCACAAACTATTGGAAGAATGGGTAGTGGCCATCACGTTGGATGGTTCAAACAAGTTATCTACTTCGAAAAGAGCTCACTTCTATAGATCCCCTACTTGAGATCTCCGACAGAATGGAAGGTTGATCACGAGCATATTGCTAATTCATGAATAGATCTAGGATTGAAGCTCGTGTTTGTGGCCCATGGAAGTAGATTCCTCTGAATAACGTTGGCCTCCTTGACTGATGCATTTCTAACGAAACGTGATGACTGATATGGGATGTAAATATGTCTGTGAAGTGAAGGCTCGAGATCTGATAACTGACTCGCATTGACGCACGACACTTTATCCTTTATTCGACACAGTACGTATGAAAGCGACAGCTGAAGGTATAGCAACGTTCCGTCAATGTAATGGATAACCACTAGCCATAAGTGCACGTTTAGTCTGCGTGCAACGCCTAGAACACAGCAACCTCGCAGAAAGCAACAAAGTTCACACCGAAATGGTGCGATGATTTTTGTGCGATATATCTCACCTCACCAGCCTATTAGGGGAGCACGGGATTATCCCCAGATCACGAGTCCATAGAGTTTGAGTGAGTATAAAGTCGCGAGCCTACTTCAGTATATCCAATCCCCTGTCCACCGAATCCTGCAGAAGCTTCATCTTTCGAATTGGGGCATATCTTTAGAGTCAGCAGTGATCCTTATCTACTCAAGAACCCCTCTGCCGCATTTGCACAGCGTTTACTGTTTACTGTAACTGCTAAAACCACCTACTGGTTCGCTTCCCAGAATCTATTTTGAATACTTCATATTACGGAATTCAGTTTTTGAAATTTCCTTACTGGTCCGGAGAACCATTAGGCCGAAAACGTCACAACTCAAAACTCGGTTTATACTTACCTGCGATATTAATGAACGTGTGTTCCGTTCTCATACTCTATCAGTAGAGTCCTTGACGTGCAAACTTTCACCGTTCAGATGAATTTCAACCTCATCCCCGTTGTTGCCGCTACGCTCTTGGGTATCCATCTATCTGAGGCTCAAACACCGAAAGCCAAATTCGATTCGAAGGTGATAGCCTTGGGTGTCAGATTCTACAAAGTAGAAGAAATTGCCAAGGTTTGACAACTTATTCACACTATACTTCAGGCAGTTAATAATCTGTTTAGCTCACTGATTGCATCGATGACTCCTTCTACAACATTGCCTCTATGCAACAAATCAAAGAAAGTAAGACTCATACGAGAAGATGTTTCCCAAATCGCTAAATTTGTGAACGATTTTGTCGGAGGCTTTCTAAATGTTAGTTATTTTCAGAAGCCATCTCATGTGCTTTGGGTAACACCGTCGCTACTAAGTATATTACGCTGATGAATATGTGCTCCTCAAGTAAGTCATCCTCAAACAGATAAAATTTCAGAGTGAAGGTGATGAAGCGAATGTGAATCTTTGTCGACTCCGAAATTGTTCAGCTCACTTCTATGAGCAGCATCATATGAAATCAAAAGTTCTTAATTTTGTCTTGAAGACCGGGCGGGTTCACTGAAAAGGGCGTTGATGGGAAGGGATGTCCGATATGTCTGGACAGTAATCCATAATAACATTTCCTCTTGGTGCATGAGTGTGAAGGTGGCTATTCATTTCACATCCTCCACTTCATGTTCACATTGAAATTTTTTGTGATATCAGGGTAACAAATGGGTTGTTTCAGTGGACAGCTGCCTTAAGCCGGAAAAGCAAACTACTATGAAGCTTCTAGACAAAGTAACTCCAGCTGGTTTCGTTGTTTTGCAGGAAGTCTACAACAAGGTTTTTTTTTCAGAAATCATTCAACACTAATGCGTCGATAGGGTGCCACAAATAGCAGCCTTACTGAACTTACGTTTTCGTTGTTGCTATCAGGAGATAAGGGTGACGAATGGGGGCCCGTGACGGTTGTGTTTAAAGCTTATGATTGGTTGGCTGTGGGAACCGGTCAAATAGAAGTCTCCTGACACTCAACTCAGTAATGCAAAAGGCACTGCTAGTGGAACTCCAGTGTTTTATAAAAGTTCGCACTGTGCTTTTGTTCTCGTCTTAGGTATGAGCTGTTTGGATCCCTTCGTTAACTTTTGTAAGGGAACGTTGGAAAGCCTGGCTTCTCACTCGATATAACTGGAAAGCAAACAAGAGGAAATCGAGACTCTTGTCATAGACGTACCGCTTCACTTCCCAAATTAAGTAAATTTTTCAGGTTATTGCTGACATAAAAGCCGCAAAGAGTGCTGGAAAAGCGAAGGCAGCTGTTATGGACATTGGATATACATCCATAGCACAGCAAGTGACAAAACCACTAATGGAAAAACTTTGCAACACCCTAGTACCTGTAAGTTGCTCACCACTTCACAATGAACCAGTTGACTAGGTTTATCTTATGAGGAGTGGGGGGGGGGGGGGNAATGGAAAAAGCTGGCTAAATCATGAAGTGTGATCAGGTAGAATGTGTTCACATCCGCCAGAAAGATAGCTGGTTTATCAATCGATCTTCTCTTGGGAGCCTAGCAAAATTAATCCAGCCAAAAAATCGTGACGTAGCACTCTCCAGAGCTTTCTGAATGGCAGTTTTTGGTGAATACATTTTGTGCCATAAACCCTCTTTTTCAACCGCGGGCGCGCAATATATCACGTGCAAATGCATCTCTGGGCTTTCGGAATAATTCTATGTTCAGATCATCACGAAGCTGGAGTGGAATTGTTTCCTCAGCAACATCAAGAGCCTCATTGATTTCTCATTGTACGAATGCTCGAAAATCGTAAAGCCTTAATTGTTATGATGATAAAAGATTTGACGGAATTTTTTGTCATGCCAAAGAACAATACCTCTCGTGCTGAGACAAGAAGAAGCACGGGCAGGATGGGTACGCTTCTAGTTCTGATAGGAAGGATGGCTTTTTCTCTTCTGCTCTGTTCAGAGACAAGAAGATAGAAAGCACTTTCTTCCGAGCTATAAATTTCGAAGGATTAGGGTTGTTCACGCCTGGGGGCTTCTGAGCTACTTCTGCCGCTTACTGTTCAATCCAAAAGTGAAAAAAAAACTTCAAGAAGAACAGAAGGCAGCCAGGCGTGAGATTTCCTTCTTCGACGTAGTTGCTATTCACTCATCAGTACCGAAAAGCACCTTGTGCTACTCAGACTACCCGCTCTCAATTACCTTTGCCTGCTCTCCGGAATCAGTAAATTCTAACAAGTTCAACCAGGAGATCTCCACTGGAGGGAGTGTGGGCTCGGCCTGCTGAGCCGAATTGCCCGTCGGCCCATCGGACCTTCAACAGTGTATATCATCCTGGCTAAACCTGTAAAAATTCACAAATTCACTGACTACCGTCTGATCTTCTCTCAACCTCCCATGGAACTTTGAACAGAGACCTTGGTATATCGTGAGAGTAAGGGAAGCCATTAACAAATTTAGAAATTAAAACAGGCCATTCGTGAGGGCTTGCTCATTGTAGCCGATTTAGTTTTTACAAAGTGTGCTTTTCTTCAGATACAATTCCTTAAACCGTTGTTCGTTACGGATTCCAGCTAGCGCTTTTTTTCAGCTATCACTGGCGATCACCTACTTATCACCTATCTTTGCACCTTTTTTGAAAAAATGCCTCCATTTATTTCTGAAGCGCTCTTTCGATTTCAACATTGAGACACACACATTCCCGAGTGAAATTGTCGTAGAACGTGGACACAGATAACTCAAAATCGAGTGCCAGATAGTCCTGTGATAGATAGTGCTCACCGGTATAGTCCAGTATTTGGGGTGTGAACTCACCAAATCAGCCGAGCCCCTTAATTGCAACGAGTCAAGACCAGTACCGTAGCCGTTACTGTTCGTAATAGTAAACATTACTGAGTGAGAAAGGACAGACAGCAAGACATTGGCTCAGGGAGAAGAGAAGAGCGACAAGTGCTCTGTATGCGCCGAATCTCCCTATCTCTCTGTCAATAATTTTCACGGAGGACACGAGCAGTGCGGTGTACGGTCTGTAACTTGTACAATAGTCGGTGGGCACTGTCTCCTACTGTTTCGGCGCAAGCGAGGTGGTACCAGTCGCCAAGACCCAAGACACCTCGTTGAGGTGCGATTAAAGTGAAGATAGCGCGGACTAGTGCAAATCATTCGCTACACTGACACCAAATGGTTCTGAAATATCATCTCAGGATCGCTGTGGGTTGTGCCGCTCGCGGGGTGGGCAGGGTGAACTAGTTTCGACGGACGCGCGGAACAGACGTTCCACGTCATACCCAGGCTGGCTTTCGTTTGAACTCTGTCAGAACCGTCCAGTTATTTCCAGATTCACGCTCCTTCTTCGGACAGATGCTCCCTGCTTCCAAGTTAATCCCTATTAGTATGTGCTCTCGCGGAAGCACTTGAATCTCATTCCCTATGAAAAATCGGCCGCTAATCAAAGGAAATTCATGAAAGAGCTTAGGGGAAAGCTTCATAGCTCATACTTTTGTGAAATTTTATTGGGAAAATAAAATTACACAAAAGTATGAACTATGAAACAAACTTGTTTATTTAGGTATCAGATACAAAAGAGAACCATGATAGTAATGCCAATGTGTGGTTTAATGCGAAAAGAACCGTCAAGAACAAAACATACCGGTGATGTTAAACATTAACGTTCCTATGGGAGTTGCATTTGAAAACTATGGCGTCGTACTGATTCACTCAATAAAATATACATCTATACACCGTAAAATGTTGACGCCTATTCGATAAAGGAAACAGAAAAAAACAACGATTGCCACATCCACGAGTGGTGAGGAGAAATTANAGTGTATTCATGTGAAGGGACGGAAGTCGACCTCCCTGCACAGTCCGCAGATGGCACAACCTGAATAAAAGTTTATAATTCTTCCAAGTGACCACCCAAACTTTTTTCATTGAGTAAGGGGACTCAAGGGCAATGCGACATTCTTGATGCAATAGTTAGTGCGGGGTGCGGTAACTAGTCCAAAGAGGTAATAAAAAACGGAGAATTCATGTTCTTGGTTTTTGAAGATCTGGTTCAGATACTGTGCCAACTATAATTTCCCTAACTACCACTACGCGATAAGCTGGCCGAGTACCGCATATTGGTCAAAGGAGCGGAACCAATCAAGGAAATACAACACCCATGGGAAGCATATCGACCAGGTGACCAGTCCCCTTATCGGAGAAAACTCAGATGAGACTATTCGTATACGTCATGTGCTGAATCCAAAGTATACCTTAACAAGATTTTTTGAGAAGCATCGCGGACAAAGAACAAAAAAAGATCGTTGTGGCACTGCTAAGAACCATCTACCCCGAACTAAGGCCACCTAACATTCGATAAGACAATGGATCTGTGACCAAAGAAAACTAGAATCCAATTCTGATCTTTTGAATGTTACCTTCTCAGGTAATTGGAGTTGTGATGGATGAGCAATCTTGACAAGTTACGCTCTTTGGCGCATATCCTTTCCTCATAGTTGAACAATACCATTCTCTGTAAATACTTAGTGCGCATGGGATCGGACTGTAACAACATCGGCACACTACATATTCATACACTTTGTTGAAATTCAAATAGAAAAGTCACCACGTGTAACTTTGCACCTGCCTCATTTATGTAAGGTACAATCTTGCTCTGACCCTTCTTCGATGTCGATGGAAGGGAATGATAAGTTTGCTCTCATTTTCATCACCAATGCTAGCTCCACGGATGAAATCCACTTGGCCACCGAAACCGGACAAGAACCGCGTGCCAACCGAGCCGGCGACAACTAAAACGCTTCTAGAATTGTTTTAAAGGCAAGTCGCTCGAAAGCTTAAATCACACAGAGTTCCTTGACGTCGAATTGAGGCAGTACACAATAAGAAATTCTCCAAGATAAATGAGGTAAATGAACAAAAAGCTCTGCAAGGAAGGTGAGCATCCTATTCGGGTGGTCTGGTAAAGGAAGATTCCGGTTTAAGGACTCTAACCAAGCTCCTCCACCTCCTGAAGCATTCCCGTACCTGTATGGGTGGCATGGTAAT